CAGATTGAGTGTGATATCAATATCTATGATATTTACTTCAAAACTAACCAAGTGTTGTTTTCCTTGTTACTAATCATGAATTTTTGACGTTCACAAAATGCCATTTTACAGGATGCCAAAATCAGAAAAGGTGGTAAAACTGAGGGTACTTCCAAAACAAATTAATATTTAAAATATTACATGAAAATCATGTCTTAGACATGGTTGATTGAATTTTAATAAAGCTTACATATGAGTAAATGTATAACAAACATGTTATCATGAAACGCAAATTTTTTTATACTATTTAGTTTTAGAAAGAAAACTCATTTAAAATCAACAGGTAATGTTTATATACTTTATGAGGAATCTTCTTCTTAATAATTTCAATCAGTACAATGTCCTTGATTTGATACTGAACAAAAGGCTCATGGACCACATCGCTCACCCGAGCACCTTGGATAGGAAAAAGTAGCTATCAGTTCAGTATTGCAAGTTATTAAAATAAATAAGTTGTCTTAAGGACATACGCAACATACTTTACCTACTGATAATTTTTCAAGATATTCTGAATTTAAGATTATAGTGCCATCAGATATTCATAGACGAAAAATCAGCATGCAATACCAGGGGTTTTGAAAAGATATCAATTGATGAAAATTCTTGTATAATTCAAAGAAAAATAAACGAAATTTACTAAAAATATATTCTAGATGTTTTGTTTATCCAAACATGTTTAAGAAGAAGTGTACAACAGAATATATAGACATTAAAATGTAGCACACAGTTCCTTTAAGTATTGGAACTCTTCAACTCCAGGGAAAAAGACATTAAAGTTCAAACTACGTTGCGTATGTCCTTTACCTATTAAGGCCATTGAACACAAACCTGGGGTTAATAACTTTGAAATGTAATGCATTAGAATACAATTACTTTGGAATTTTTTCCATTACTATTACCATTACTCTCATTCAGAAAAGTAATCAGGGCCATCACTCCCTCAAATTCAGACTCAATATCGGACCCATTCCCAATGACACAAAGGGCTATATTTTCCCAATTTCATACTTAAAAAATTTCCCAAACACATGTGAATAGGTGAAAGTGGTTTTGAAAACAATAGGATGCAATAAAGAAAAAATGATGATGCTGATGTGTATCAGATCAAGGTCTCCTCGGACATTTTCAACCATGACAATATGTTGAATAAAGTGAATTTATGCGTGTCAAGTGAAGGCTTTTGTTAAGTTTTCTTAGAAATTTTATGAATTTTGAAACATGGTTCATGTTTAACATTATTACTAAAGATCAACTACATGGATATGTATTGTCTGACTGAACTATTTATAATATATTTAATGAAACTTAATGTGAAATGGAGGGTCATTTACATGTATCTATAGCGATAATATTAATACGTTTTGTTTAATTAGCTTTAAACTGAACCAGGTACAAGTTAACAAAAAATCATTGAAAAAAAATTAGCAAAATGGGAAATATTATCGGAAACGTGTTGACAATAGAGCAGCAAAGCAGTGCAAGTGAATCGATGACTTGTTTAAAGCTGCAATATCCTCTAATTCTACTGCAACTCTGATACCAAGCTCTACAGCTTGTGCAGAACAATTATTCTCATTGTTGAACTCTTTGTGCACCAGTTTCAGGTCTTCTATGAGTCAAAATAATCTTGACGGCATGATTTGCATTGTTAGTGGGAGAGCAGGAGACTTACAGCAAACCAGATTAATCGGTCCATAGCAAATTTCAAAGATAAGAAACAAAAGGCTTTGGAATTTTAAGTAATAAATGGCTTGTCTTAGCCAAAGTACCGGTCTCTATCTCCCACAGTGGGATTCCAACCCGCGACATAAGAATCAAGTCCTTACTCCGCGACTCAAGAGCAAATGCTCTACCACTGCACCACACGGGCAAGGGGGGAGGGGTAATAAGTATGTTAATTTTCCCAATTTGACAAAAATGTCGAGGATTTTTCCCACTTGAGAGGGACCCAGTCCCTGTACCTAAAAGTGCAGTGACAGCCCTCAGGCTGGTAATTAATAAAATTCCAATTGCTTTGTTAAAGTAAGGAATTACATTACACATTACATTTTGTAACATAAAAACACAGAAGTTATGACCACATAAATTATATCTATAAATAAACTTTCTCACACTTTGTGCTTGGTTAGTATGCCTTTCCTCAGGTCTATAAGTCAGAGTGGTGTTTGGTTATTTAAATTTTGGATTCATTTATCATGTTCATGTAGTTTGTCTATCTACAGTTGACAAAGAAGTGGATTGAAACACTTTTGCTGGCCCTCTCCCAACTCAGGATGAAAATATTGAGTCGGTAGGTAGGTGAGAATTTTTTTTTCAAAGAAAATTTCAAAATCAATGCTGAATTTTTAAAGATCTATTTCCCAGAATGCATAAAAAAATAATTGATTCCAGGAGGTTAAAAAATTTTTGAGTCAGGCCATTTTAAGCCACTCAGTAGGGAGAGGGCAACCAATTTTTTAAAGATGGACTATTTATCAGTGATATTTAATTAACTGATAATGCTAATTGTAAAACGAGCATGTATTAATAATTTAATGAATTTGTGTACTTGTAATAAGAAGGGCAGGCATAATCAATGAAGTTATATAAATTTATTACATGTAACACAATCAAAGGCTATAATTACTTCAGTACCTTAAGATGTATAGGGTTTGGAGTTACATTACTGGAGCATACTTACTTGCAAGATTGGAAATATATATGCAGCTAATTCATTTCCATACATTGGAACATTAGATGATAGACACAGACTATGAAGTGGGCGGGCAGCTTTTCTTGTTCAGTGGTTGTTCACTCGTCAAAGAAGATTTTTAAAGATTTTTCATGTATATTTCAATGTGAAAGTTGGAATCCCTATTGTGGCCCCACCCTACCCCCCTGGGTGTGGATTTGATCAATCTAGAATTTACACTACCCCAGGATGCTTCCACATAAGTTTCAGCTTTTCTGGCCTGGAGGTTCTTGAGAAGATTTTTTAATGACTCAATGCTATTTTTTCGTGATCACCTCCCTTTGGAAGGGGACTTGACCCTTCATTTTAACAAATTTCCCTTCACTCAAGGATGCTTCGTACCAACTTTGGTTAAAATTGTTCCAGTGGTTCTTGAGAAGAAGATGAAAATATAAAAGGTTTACAGACAAACAGATGGAAGGACAGCTAAATGGACAATGGACAAGAGGTGATCAGAAAAGCTCATTTGAGCTTTCAGCTCAGATGAGCTAACAAAATTCCCTATTGTGAGCCCACACTACCCCCTTATGGAATATTTTGAACAGTTTACAATCTACACTACCTCAGGAAGCTTTCACAACTTAGCTTTTCTGGCCCAGTGGTTCTTGATAAGAAGAGTTTTTAATCACCAGCCCTATTTTCAGCAAAACTTGCCTTTTCCTGATTATCTCCTCATGACATTGGGTTTGCCTTTATTTCAAAAAATTAAAATCCTCTTAACCTATAGTGATGCTTTCTAGCAACTTAAGTAAATTTGGCACAGTGGTCCTAGAGAAAAAGTTGAAAATGTGAAAAGTTCAGAGATGGATGGACAGACGCCAGACAACAGGGTTAGGGTTAGGGTTAGGGTGAAAAATGTGAAAAGTTTACAGGTGGATGGACAGACAGAGGGACAGACAGACTACTGACAAAGTGTGATCAGAAAAGGTCACTTGAACTTTCAGTTTGGGTGAGCCAAAAAGCTCACATGCTTTAAGCTCAGGTGAGCTAAAAATCATAACCTTATTTAGCATGGACTCTGCTCAATTTACGTAAACACAACACTAATGCTCCTCTTTATTTTTATTCAATATTATTTTATGCTAAAAAATACAGTATTTAATTTTAATATTTCAACAACCAAAAAAGATACAGCGGTTTATATGAAATAATTCTACAAGGCACTGTTCATCTTGTGGTCTCATCTCCTTATCTAGAATATATTCTGCTTTCGTTTCTTTTCAAAAGTCTTCCTGAATATTTCCCAAATCTGCGCACAATGATTTCTCCAATCATTTTATTTTCTATTTAATATCACACTTTTCATTAACATGTTAATGCACTTATTTACAATGTTTGAGCTGTATTCAAGGTCTTAATAACACAAAAAAGCAAAATGTGTTGCTAATCCTGAAGCAGGTGTAAACTTCCAAGTCTGCAGAGCAACCAAGATGAAACAGTGTATCTCTAATTTCTTCTCAATCTTTTCTAACTAAGAAGTTGTAAGGCTTTGAGTAGCAGATTACACTTCTCTCATTTTCCACTGAATGACCATGTGCTAAGTTTGATAAATGCTCTCTGTCCAACTTCAAACACGTGAAAATGATCTGCTATATTGATATAACCATATTATATTTATCTTATACAAGTTAATGTGAAAGAAAAAACTTTACATGGACTGATTTCAGTATGTTTCATACATTGGCATCATAAGTACTTGTTAGTACACTGAGCCTTTCCAATGACATGACTTATCTGCCATTGATGTTCTTGAGAATAAGATTTTTAAATATCTTTCCTATGTTTTACTATGAAATATATGGAGATAACGAACAGTATTCAAGCTCAAAAGTCCATTAAACAATACAAAATAGGAGCAGAGCAAACACGGACCTCCAAACATCAGAGGTGGGATCAGGTGCCATGGAGGAGTGAGCATCCCCTGCCGACCGGTCACACCTATGTCAACCTTTGATTGCCCATTGATGCCCCACCCTACTGCCAAAAAGCTAATTTTTACATAAGTTTCGTCTTTTCTAGCCCAGTGGTTTTCTTAAATGACCTTAAAGGACACCCACTCTATTCTTGTCTTTTTTAATTATCCCCCCTTGCATGAGGATGTGGCCCTTCAATTGACCAAAGTTCAAAATGTGAAGATGTGAAAAGTAAACAAAAGACATATGGCCAATTGACAAAATTTAATCAGAAAAGTACATTGAGCCTTTCCAGCGTTGATATTAATTTAAATTTACTAACCATGATGTTTAAGCAAAAAATTTGTATCTTGTAAAGCAGACTTTCTCTATTCCACTTAGAGCTCTCCTCCATGCCCCCCTAACAAGCTCTCTAAAGACTGGCCTGTAAACTTCAAGTTTCTGATATTGAAATCAGCGGTAGTTTTTTCATCATGTGAAAGCAACCACCTCTTCACCTGAAATTAGATATTTAATGTGCTTAGTTTTAAAATCTACATATCTGATTATTAACCAGAAATCTATGATGACACTGTAGCTCTACTTATTTGTAATAAAAATAAAGGAAAACAGTTTACAAGCACCTGCACTTGAAAAAAAAATCTTAGTTAAATGTACAGAATCATGCAGCCTGATGTTTTAAATCTTGAAACAATTGCAAGTTTTGACATCAAATGAAATGTAGGCATAGCAGTTTGATAGATAATTTCACACAATTTATCCTTTTTTAGCTGGGTTCAATGTTCAGAGAGCATTAACTAGCTACTGTCACTGTGTGTCAACTGGATATGCTGACTGCATCACTGCCAAATTAAATTTACAAAATACAGTCAAACCTCATTATATCGAACTCGATGGGACGAGAAAAAACTTCAAGATATATATATATCCAAGGATTAGGATTCGAGATATCGAGGGTAAAATTCTTAAAGAATAAGTAGTTGGGACTTCCAAATCACTTCGACATATCCATGATATTGGAGATATCAGTGTTTGAGATACCGAAGTTCAACTGTATATAAACGTACTAGTACAGTACTTACCGTAATATGTTTACAGTATACATTACTCAAAATTATAATTATTAACAGATACCATTTAGAACTTTCATACTAACCTCTCCTACAGTCACTGTCAGTAGAGATGAATTACTTTTAAAACCACTGTGACATTCCCCCTGTAACCTGTATCTCAGATCTGGAACACTAGTTCTAACTACTCCATCAACCATCATTTGCATTGTCGGTAAAGCATCTCCTCTCCTGCAAAATTTGAATTGACTCCCTTACTTCATTTAATTAAAATACCATTTTCTTTTTAGAATTTGATAAATAAGAAATAATATTCAAAAGATGTCTCATAAAATAAACTAGATGCTGTCATGAGACAGTAATACCCGCACTAAGGTGTTTGCCTCTAAATGCACACTCCTTCATATTGGGCTTACCAAGGAAAAAGTCAAAATAATTCTATAATTTACACAGTACATGTATTCGTCAAATCGAGCATGAAATGCTCAGGTGACCAAGTGACCCATGAACCTCTTATACGCATTTCATATACTTAATTCATTACCAGTCTGAAATAACAGAATTTAATTAATGATGTAAATTAGGTTTTGATAAAAAGGGGGGGGATATAAATTTTTGGCCCATGATTGGAACTTTTTAAATTTTTTTTCTCAACAACAAATAATATTATTTTAGTACAAAGCGTTTATGATGAATTTATCAAAATGTGCAAACTTTTTAAAATTAGTATTTGATTAGGCAAAAACCTCCTTGAAAAGCCATACCCAATCAATTTTGTCAACCCCCCCCCCCCCCCAACACACACACACACAATTTGCCTGTTTTTGGAAATAGGCCTAGATGGCAAAGTTATGTTAAAACATCGTTTGTTATGATAATTTAAAATTTGTTCTTGTACTGTACATGTATGTGAACACCTTTTTGAAAATTTCTACATCACATTGGGCTTGCGTCACCCTACCAGTACTAGTACTAGTTTTACCATTATCATTTTTAGACTGCACATGCCATGTGACATGGTGCAGTGTTACATGTATATCAGTGGAAATTAATTCATTTTGTGTTTTAATTGGATTATAATTCATGAAGTTGACAGGACCTATGACAGTCAGTAAGTACAAGTTTAAGTATAGATTGGGGTAAAATAAACCGAAATGCAAATGGTTAGGTTTAAAGTTTAAAAAGGATCAAAGATCATCGGCAATCTCCTATGCAGAGCTGTCGTTCGTTTCTCTCTCAGACACTGAATGTATGAGCCGATCGTAGAGAGTGGATCATCGGATGCCACAATAGACGAATTTCACATTCTGAAGAGTTATCTCCCGTTGTCGACATTACATTCAGTTACAGGCACAGATCCGGGAATTTTTTTCCGAGGGGGGGGGGGGGAGGGGGGTCCACACCTCGGTCCAAAAAAATTCCAGCCCAGAATTTCCTGAGGAGCAAAAAACAAACAAACAAAATAAAAACAATGATGGTGGGGTCCATGTTTTTAAAGGGGGAGGGCATCCAAAGTCATTTTTTATTTGCTTCTGTAAATCAGTATATAGTCCTATTTAAATAACTCTGCAAGTTCCAGGGGGGAGGGGGGGTTCCAATCTCCCTAGCCGCTCCCTGTCCCTGAAATGACAAATGATCATGTGACTCCTAAATAGTAGAAAACTTTTCCATTTAACTATACATAATTTTGTTTCTTGTGTTATTATGTTATGTACATCTAATGGTTTAAGGTTATGAACCCCTGGAGGTCATCCCCAAAGTATTAGACTAGTTTGCATACATGAACAAACAGGGGTCTGGGAAGGGGAAGGGGCAAGGGGAAGGAGTTATCTCTTTACGTCTTAATTGTTGAAAATTCCTAATAAAAATGAATGTTAACCTCAAATCCGACTTGTACGTCTTCATTATTTTTAAGTGGTGGTGTCTCCGTATGAGTGAAAAATTCCCAAGAGGGACATTTAACAACAAACAAACATTAATGACTTAAAAAACACAATATACATGTACATGTTTATTAGTCAACGGATATACTTCTGATCATATCTCTAGTTCTCCCTTGAATCAGAAATGATGATATAAATATTTTAAGAATGATTAAGAGTTGAAAAGGTTGTGCATTTTAAAATTCACTAAGCTCTGTGGTTGAATTAGCTATACCAGTTTAGCTTATTTTGCTACTCAAAGCACCTTGATTAACTATTTTTAATCATACTGTTTTCTGAAATGTGAAGTTTTTTCAACATAGATACAAGTCATACCTTTTCAGCTTCTGAAAACAATGCACAAAAAAAAAAACTGCTTTTCAAATACTGTAACTCTTTCCAAGTACTTGTGATCATCAGTTTTTAGCTCACTTGAGTTTTTCTGGTTTTCTGATCACATTTTGTTTGTCATCCATCTGTCCGCCTGTAAACTTTTCACATTTTTGTCTTCTTCACTAGAACCGCTGGGCCAATTTCAACCAACCCTGCCACAAAGCATCTTCGGGTAAAGGGGATTCAAGTTTGTTCAAGTGAAGGGTCACACCCTCTTTCAAGGGGGGATAATCAAGAATTAGTGAAAATTTGGTGGTATCATTTTAAAAAAGTCTTATCAAGAACCACTGACTGGGCCCAAAAAGTTGAAACTTTCTTTACATAGACTTAGTGTAGCTTCAAATTTGTTAAAATTATGACCCACTGGGGTAGGGTGGGGCCACATATGGGGATCCAATGATTTACATAGATAAATGCAGGGGATTTTTTCCATCATAAATCTTCTTCTCATGAACAGCAAGGGCATTATAGTCGTCCGTTTTCACAAAAGGGACCTAGGGGACATTAAATCTCATTTGTCTGTCAGTCTGTCTGTTTGTCAGTCTGTCCGTCTGTCACAATAAATTTAACCTTGGTCATAACTTCTGAATAATAAGAGATAGGACTTTCATATTTCACATGTACATTACCTTCAAGAACTTTCTAAACATACCATGATTTTTGAACCCATGACCTTGACCTTGAAGTTTGACCTACTTTTCAAAAAATTTAACATTATTTTAAATGATCATTTTGAAAGAGAAAAGATAGGGCGTTCATATTATACATGTGTATTACCTGTGACAAGACCTTTCTAAATATATCATGACTTTTGACTCTGTGACATTGACCTTGAAGTTTAACCTACTTTTCAAAAATGTTATATTTCCTTATAACTTTTGATTGAGAAGAGATAGGACTTTTATATTTGACATGTACATTACCTGTAACAAGATATTTCTGAGCATGCTATGATTTTTTTACCCCTTGACCTTGATGTTTTACCTAATTTTCAAAAATTTTAACTTTGGTGATTACTTTTGAATGACATATGATAAGGCCTGCATATTTGAAACAATATGTCATAAATAATGGCATCCCATCCACTAGGACACGGAAAGCAGGGGACCACAATTCTTTGAATTTGCTTGTTAGTTATTTTGATATGGAAACATCCTCATAAAGTGTAGATTCAAGTTTTTTATGCCCTGCCATGAATATGGCCGAGGCATATAGTGTTTGTCATGTCCGATTTCAATAAAAATGTCATATGCTGATACATACTGATGTAAGCTTTTCAACTGCATCAAAATTTTTGACCTTGACTTTTCCTTTGACCTTGACCTTACTTTTCTTAAATTAGTGTCTAGATCCAATTCAAGATATATTTATCAAACTTCATATATATATATATACTGCTGAGAGATATCAATTGCATCAACTTTTTTGACCTTGACTTTTCCTTTGACCTTGACCTAACTTTTATTAATTAGTGTTTATGTACGTTTTAAATAAACCATTTCTGATATTTTTATTGAACTTCTATGCTAATAGTAAATACATACTGATATAAGCTTTTCAACTGCATCAGCATTTTGACCTCAACCTTTCCTTTGACCTTGACCTCTCTTTTCTCAAATAAGTGTTAAGCTCAGTTTTAAATAAATCATTCAAGATATTTTTATCAAACCTAATATGCTGATATGTATTAGTGAGAGCTATTCAGCTGCATCAAAAACTTTTCACCTTGCACTTTCCTGTGACCTTGACCTCCCTTCTCTTTAATTTGTATTTTGATTAGTTTTAAAGAAACAATCTAAGATATTTTTATGTAAGCATGCACTTATACATAATTTTGTGAGAATTTATCATCTATATCCATTTTTTTTAGATTTTAGTTTCAATTTTAAAGAAACTGTTCAAGATATTCTCATCAAACTTCATACACTCATACAAATTTTCATGTTGCATTAGTAATATACATTCGGCGGGGCATTTATGTCCTATGCTCATATTTCTAGTTTTCAAATCATGACCTCCGAGGATAGGGTCAAAGTTTTATAGAGATTTAAAAGGAAAAAAAATCTTCAAAATTCTTCTTTTTAAGAACAACAAAAGCATGATTAATATGGAAACATTCCCAAGAAGTGTAGATTCAAGTTTGTACAAATCATGACCCCATGGGTTAGGGAGGGGCCATTTTTTTCCTGCCCCTATTTGCTATCCACATGGAAATGCAAATTTTAAAACCATTTTACACATCCACAGGACAAAATCAATCATCTTCCAAATGATCATGATTTAAGGCTAGTGCATAAAATATAAGGGAAGTTCTGGGAACCAGGATGTTTAAACATGTTAAATATTTAAAAAAAAAAATTTGATCCCCATTTGACCCCCAGGGGGAAAATAAGAATTCCGAAACCTTACTGCACATCTATAGGACACCACCAACCATCTCCCAAAAGACGATTAGGCTACTCTAATGCCCCCCCCCCCCCCCCCCCAGGATTTGTAGAATTATTAAATGTATACATGTATATTGAAGGAAATAGAAGATGCTAATATGGATATAAAGATTTCATTGCTTATTCTTTAATATGTGTATAGAAGATTATTTTTAATATAAAGAATATTTATCACACTGTAATAATGATTTTATGAGTTTGTACAAGCCAGACGTCATAACTTTTTCATTTCACATGCTGAATACTATCATTTAGTAAATCAAAAAAAAAAAAAAAAAAAAAAAAAAAAAAAAAAAGGATCGTCCGGGATTGACCCCAGTACCTCTCACTTGCTTGGCAAGAATCATAAACCTAGACCACGGATGCCACTTGATTATACAAGAAATTAAATGTAAACATTAGGTCAATATAATGTTTATTAATATTCAAGTTCGATATTGTCAAAATCTTACACAATACATGGTGTCTAATTTAGCCTTTACTAAATAGTTCTAATAGATGTAATATAACCTGTTTTATATGTAATAACTCTCCACATGCCTCTATGCTAAAAATAGTGCCAAGGACTTTTAATACAGTAAAAAAAAAAAAACGTGGCAGAACACTTTGAGAGAGGCTATAGGGAGTTAAGGTATAAAATTTCATTGCAAAAGCTCAAAAGCTTCTTGAGATATCTCCCGGAAACGAAAGTGTTACACAGAGACGGATTGTATGAATTCATGATCTTGAACTTTGACCTTTTGACCTCAAAATCAATAGGAGTCTTCCTTGGGCCACAGGAAGTTGTTATGTAAAAATACATTGCAAAAGCTCAAAGGATTCTCGAGAAATCGCGCAGAAGTGAAAGTGTTACAGACAGAAATAAAGCTGGACGGATGGACAGACAGTTAGACCCAAATTAATATCCCCCACTTTCAGTGAAAGCGGGGGACAAAAAGATAGGAAAACATGCATGCTGTCCTTGAATTTTGTAATTTGAAAGCTGTTCATTTAAACATGCAACAAAGAGGGATTTGCTATTCTAAGCATCTTAGCCTTACAGAGCTCACCTTGACACTGTTATCTACCAGTATAAGGCAAAGCCTCACCTCACACCAAATAAATGTTCTGGTAGTGTTCATCCCTAGAAGATACATCAATCTTTGCAAGTTTGGTTTGGGTAGGATTGACAGTTCATTGGGAATGGACATGCCTGAAAAACTATAATCTGGTCAACTATCCCGAAAATGTAGGACAGAAGCAAGTCTGGTAGTGTGCATCCTTAGATGTATCAATGCATCATCCATGATAGCTTGTTTATCAAAGGGCTTAATACAATTATTGGGATTATTGGGAATGAAACTTGCTCCAACTAGAGGTACAATGAGCAAGCTCATAAAATAGTACCCCCCCCCCCCCCCCTTGAACCTTGAACTTGCAAAAAGACCTTGGTTTAAAAAATGACACATCCTCTGGTCATGAATATTCTTTTAGAATTATGGAATAGTTGTTGACTAGGTGTTTTCTTTATAACCCCCAAAACTTCAATTGCTGGGGATAAGAAAAACTTTATTCATCCAAAAAATGTAGGTCAGATCCAGCTTCAGAAGCAAGCCTAGTAGTGTGCATTCCTAGATGCATCATTCATCCATGTTTAGTCACCATAGGGCTTAGTTACATTGGAATAAGATCTGTTCAAAAACATTAAGCTGTAACCTTTTCACAAAATGTTTAACTAAGTCTCATTGTAAGAGACAACTTATTTTGTTTGTGGCCCTTCATTTAAATAAACATGAATCCCACTCACCCAAGGACGCTTTGTGACAAGTTTGACCAACTGACTCCAATTTTTTTTTCTCCAGAAACCACTTTAATACATATATTGCTAGGAACAATCCTTAATAGTTTCAGAATTGATTGGATGTATAATAGGAGTAAACCTTAGAACACCATTTTCATTAGTGGTTCTAGCATATTTTTGTACACTCTCCTATATTTTCATGTTTATTATTTCCCAGGTTCTTATTTTGATTTGAGATTCTGCTTGGTCTTATTTCCGAGCTTATTTGTACCTTATTTCAACACCTCATGTCAATTGTAATGAAAACACCAGCTCCAATAAACAACAAAATTTATTAACCTTTGTATAGACAAACCAAAAAAAAAAAAATAAATAACAACTGTAAATTCCTGCCTCGTAGAAAAATCCTAACAACCATATAAAAATCACCCCCCAACCTAGCGTACGGAAATGCTAGCCCAACCTATCCGGGGGAAAAGGCCAAGGGAAATTTAAAAACAAGAGGCCTTGCTGTTTTTTCACCTGATTTCTCCCCCCCCCTTGTAGTACTTATTGTGGCCCCGCCCTATCCCCCAGGGGTCATGATTTGAACAATTTAGAATCTACACTACCCCAGAATGCTTCCACATAAGTTTAAGCTTTTCTGGCCCAGTGGTTCTGGAGAAGAAGATTTTTAAAGATTTTTACTACATATTTCAATGTAAAACTTGGATTCCCTATCGTGGCCCCACCCTACCCCCGGGGGTCATAATCTGAACAATTTTTTGTGATTTACTGGATGGAGTACAATAGACATAGCATAGAATAAGTAGTTTTGTATCTTTTTAAAAATAAGCAGTTTCCTGTAAATTTTCGGGCTATTATTGATAGAACTATTGACATTATATCATCCATTCATCATTTATTTTTAAAATTACATCTTTTTAAACAAAGCCCAACAGATTGTCAATTACAATGTATCTAAAATGGTTGTATACCACTTTATGATTTCTTTTAACTAGAAGAGAAAGGTGTCAGTAAATACAAAACTTATTAATACTATCCACAATGTACTATTTCCCATTCATTTATTCTGTGCATTATCTATACAGGTTTCTCCATATCATTCTAGATCCATACAGTTGAAAAAACGTAAAGCAAGAAGAACTTGGAAGAAATTGTCTCATCACTTAAGTCCTACTTCTCAAAAGCTATCAGACTATGAAATGAAATTTGATTTTTCTTTTACTTGAAGTAGTGACTCTTACCCTTTCTCCAGGTATCCCAGAGAAACCTGGGGGTCCACAGGGGGCCACCAGGTCCTGGTGATCCTGCTCTGCCAACTGGTCCCCTTGGTCCCTGCTTGCCAGGCTTCCCCTTCATTCTTAGAGTGGAAGGGACTTCCAAATCCCCAGGCTCACCTTTAGGTCCAACCCTTCCAACTTCTCCAGGAAAACCCTGAAAGTTTTATCCAACTTCAGTGCAGTTTCCAAAAATACAAAATTATGATAAACCCTTATACAGGTAAAAAATTAAATCAGCGCATCTGAGCCTTTGGCTTAATTGGGTGAGCTAAAAAAAAAAATCAAATGTTGAGGGGAGCATTCCAACAATTTTGTTATTGAACTGTAAACCGGTCCAATCTTTAAAATTATTGGACTTCTTACATTACATCTACAGTAAATTCTAAATTAACCACCACTTTTTGTAATTTAGAATTCAATGTGGTATAACAAATTTGGGATGAATTGAATTTCCCATCTTTGAGGAAACAAGAAGTAGAGTTACCATTCTTGGAATTAAAACATTTAGCGTTTATTTTCTTGGTAGTATTTATTATAATATAAAAACACATTTCAAAATAAGAAAATGCTTTAAATAGGTTTTTATGTATGATAATTTTGTTTTTAAAAAAATGCAGTGAGGATTGGCCTGTTCTATTGCCAATAATATGTAATATGAATTCCTGTTAATACATTTGTTCAAGGCATTGTCGTTGCTGAAACTTTCACAATTAATACTGTATCACTATTTTTAAAGCAAACTTTGCATCGTTTGAAGTAGGGATTGTCAAACCAATATAGTCATTGGAGAACTTTAAGAACAACCGCTGGGCAAAGCCATGATGATATCATTTTTATTAAACAGAAAGCAAATTTTTAATTACAGTTAATGTTTAATAAAAATTATTGTTTATTTAATTCTCTAATTACCTTGTCTGTTTTTACAATGGTGATCTTGATAGCGACAACCAATTAAATGCTTCACTGACTACATGCACCTGTGGTGGTATATTGAGATAACTGACACTTTGGAATGGACGTTTATTGTGAAAACAGGGTGGCGGATGGTGGTATGTGAATTTGGCATTATAAAGAGAATTTTATAAAGCAGGAAAAACGTTCCTGAAAAATCATGGCATTATTGCGAGGATGGCATGAATCAAATGGCAATATTTCAAGAATTGACTGTATTTTATCGTCATTAATTTGCTTACAGCATTTTCAAAGTACTGAATGTGAATGGGAACAAATTATCCTCTTATATAAAGATGGCATCCAAATTGTCAAGTTATGGGTGTGTGTAAGTTTATTAAAAACAAGAGAGTTATCGACTGAGATTTGAGCAACATATATTTTGTTGAAGAGTATTCCTAGCAACTACAGGTAACTGAAGCTTGTAACACTTTTAAAATCTAAGACATTGGATAGAAATGTTTTTCATCTGGTTTCACTTACCGGTATGCCCTTTTGATCAGGTATTCCAGGTATGCCCTGTTTTCCTGGTTGTCCGAGGAATCCTAGTTTTCCTGATTGTCCAGGAAGTCCATCGAAACCAGGATCACCTGGATCTCCCCTAAAACCAGGCTCACCCCCAGGACAAACCTCACAGTCATCACCTCTTCTACCTGAAATTGAACAGAGAGGGAAAAAATTGCATGAAGAAACAAGAGGCCCAGGGGCCACATTGCTCACCTGAGCACTCTGGCTAGGAAAAAGCAGAAATCAGTTCAGTCTTGAAAAGTTTAAATATAAAACTGGTTCGGGTGGGGGGGGGGGGGGGGATCATGATATGTACAAATTTGAAACTACATTATCTGATGATGCTTCCATTTAAATATGACTATCATGGCTTTCATGTTCTTGAGAAGAAGATTTTTAAAGATGTTCCCTATATATTCCTATGTAAAACTTTGATCACCCATTGTGGCCCCACCCTACCCCTGGGGGTCATAATTTGAACAAACTTGAATCTACACTACCTGAGGATGCTTCCATATAATATGACCAATCATGGCTTTGCTGTTCTTGAGAAGAAGATTTTTCCTATGTATTCCTATGTTTAAAAAGTTTACGACAACGATGACAGACAATGGACAAATTTCAATCAGAAAAGCTCACTTGAGCCTTTGGCTCAGGTGAGCTAAAAAAGACTTATTGGCTTTACAACAAAGCTAATTAATTCATGGTGAAAAGGGAAAACCTTGATAGGTGCACATGTAATTGAATAAAAGCTTTTTAACACTAAGTCAATCCTTTTTAGTGTCCTAAGATATCCACAAACATGACAATGCTATCATTAGCTCACCTGAGCCGAAGGCTCAAGTGGGCTTTTCTGATTGAAATTTGTCCGTTGTCTGTCGTCGTTGTCGTAGTCGTAGTAAACTTTTCACATTTTCATCTTCTTCTCAAGAACCACTGGGCCAATTTCAACCAAACTTGCCACAAAGTATCCTTGGGTAAAGGGGAATCAAGTTTGTTCAAATGAAGGGCCACGCCTTCTTCCAAGGGAGATAATTATGAATTCATGAAAAATTAATGGCATCATTTAAAAATCTTCTTCTCAAAAACCACTGTGCTTGAAAATATGAAACTTATATGGAAGCATCGTCAGGTAGTGTAGATTCAAGTTTGTTCCAGTCATGACCCCCGGGGGTAGGGTGGGGCCACAATGGGCGATCAAAGTTTAACATAAGAAAACATAGGAAAAATCTTTAAAAATCTTCTTCTCAAGAACAGCAAAGCCATGATTGGTCATATTTATATGGAAGCATCCTCAGGTAGTGTAGATTCAAGTTTGTTCGAATCATGACCCCCAGGGGTAGGGTGGGGCCACAATGAGTGATTAAAGTTTTACATAGGAATATATAGGGAACATCTTTAAAAATCTTCTTCTCAAGAACAGCAAAGCCATGATTAGTCATATTTAAATGGAACCATCATCAGGTAATGTAAATTCAAATTTGTTCAAATCATGATCCCCTGGAGAATAGAGGGGCCATAACAGGGAATCATACAAAGGAATACAAAGGATATATCAATCAAAATTTTCTTCTTAAGAACAGCAAAGCCATTATTTGTCATATTAATTCAAAAGCATCCCTATGAAGTTTAGATTCAAGTTAGTTAAATAACCCACCCCCATCTGAACCAGTTTTATATTTCAACTTTTCAAGACTGAACTGATTTCTGCTTTTTCCTAGCCAGAGTGCTCAGGTGAGCGATGTGGCCCCTGGGCCTCTTGTTTGGTTTAGATCTGCTCTGATTTTACACAAGCCTACTAGTCAATGAATGATCAGAGGATAAGAACCAGCTGACTAGCCTTCACAAAGCACAGAATAGTCCGCTGTCTAACAGGTAACAGCATTCAAATTCATATCTGGAATAACAACTCTTTAAAGTTGGTGCTAAAATATTGAAGATCATTATTATTTAACAAATTCAACATTTTTTTTTCAAACTATCTATTAACATATTGAAGAAAAATGACCCACCTCTTTCTCCTGGGATTCCATCACGCCCATCCTCTCCAGGGATTCCTGGATCTCCTTCCTCTCCGGGAAATCCTGAAGGACCTCTTGGACCAGAACATCCAGACCATCTCCAGGGATACCAGGGAATCCCTCAGGACCAGGTTCTCCCCTAGTACCAGGAAGTCCATCAAGACCAGGTCTTCCTACTCGCCCCTGTTCACCAGGGTATCCTTGAACCATTTCTCCAGGTGGTCCCAAATCTCCTGGCACTTCTTTTAATCCAGGTATTTCAGGCAATCCAGGCACTCCATCAAGACCAAGCCACCTGAAATAAAATAAGTAATCATCACTTGAGCTTAGAAAATGTTAACCAAGGTTTGATAAAAAATGCAACCAAGTGCATAACGCTATGATTATTCAAAGAAAATAAGAAATTAAAAAAAGTAAATTTTTGTACTTTGTGCAAATCAATGTAATAATCCTAAAAAAATACCTTGGTTTCCCTTGTCTCCTGGATAAGAGAATCCAACAGGTCCTCTCCTCCCAGGTATCCCATCAGGCCCCAGTAGGCCAGGGGGACCATCACGTCCCATTTGACCATCTGGACCGTCATTTCCTGTGCAGTATACAAATTATAAGATCAATCATCTGACATTATTTCTAAATATTAATTCTCACATCTACTTATACTAAGTAATTATTAATTGAATTCCTAACACTTACCCGGGAATCCTGGAAGACCTTGTGGGCCAGGGTCACCAGGTCGACCTTTGGGTCCAGGACGACTTTGACCCCAACAATCTAGATCTCCTTCTGGACCCTGCAATTTCATTTTTTTTTTAATCATTTACATGTACTTGAATATTTAACTGAATTCTAAACACTAAAATCTAGTAAAATCAAAACTATTTTTTATTCCATAAGAATCTGGAAATAAGTATGGATAATTTTTTTTTTTATACTTTGGAAATGACACAAAAAAACTGCTTCCAAATATTCCAAATTTTGAATATTGAAGGATTAAAATCATGTACAATTTCAAAAATTAATCACATGCAAATTTTGAGGAGAAAGGTTCACAAATGGAAACAATTTTGGGTCTGATTCTAGATTTTCCAAAATGAGGCCTGTACTGAGCAATTCATGTGATGCAAGTAATTCACTACTACTTTTGAAATCTATACATATTAAAACAAGAGGCCCAAGGGCCTTAACGTTCACCTGAGTATGATACAACAATTTAAAGGATGCATAGAGTATAAAATGAACTGAAAGGTGAAACTTTGTTGCCAAAAAGCAAGAAAAATAGGGTGATCATGATCAACAAAATAATTGGTCTTAATATTCATTAACAGTTTATAAATTATGTTCTATAAATCTGATCCCCATTTATCACTATCACCATACAGTATATTAACAAATTATCAATGCTTCTGTACTATTTTAATCCTTTGTTGAAATTTCTTACATTGGCCTCTCTTGGTCCTTGATGAACATTTAATAAGACAAGTTATTTTTGTCTCATTTTTATTTATCTACTACTTACAAGTCTATCTGATCATTAAAACTATGAAAGTACTTTTTGTATTATACAATAAAAGTTTTTGCATAATTATCTTATGCTATTTACCTTTCAAGTACATTATTTACAGTGATAAATTATCAAAAGTAAATGGCAAAGGGGAATAACTCCTCTCAGTAGAATACAAAATAATAGAGCCCTGGCCAGGACCAGAACACTTGACCAAATGGTCCAGATGTTCAAAAATCTGGTAAAAATAATCTTCCTTATTGAAACTTTTACTCTTTTTGCCTCTGATTATGCCCAGGTGCGGAGAAGATTTTTAAAGAAATAATGCATTTTTACTACAGATTCACTATATTATCAATAGAGCCCCCCCCCCCCCCCAACACCAGAGCTTCTGACCCTGGGACCATAAGTTTGCTCATCATAACTAATCACTTTGTTTATCTGCTTAACACCAAGGAGCAAACAGGATTATTTAATAGAATTAATGCTTTTTTACTATATTATCAAGAGCCCCACCCTCACACCAGCACATCTGACCCAGGGGTCATGAAATTCACTACTCTGGAAGAAGCACTCTTGCTCATCATAACTATACACTTAGCTTCATTCCTTTTTTAACCAGAAGCAGAAAGGAATATTTTCAAATAAATTTTGCTTTTTCACTTTATAATCAATAGAAGCCCCCCCCCCCCCCCCCCCCGAACCCTTAAATCTGGGGTCATAAAATTCACAATTTTGGAAGAGGCATCCTTGCCTATCATAACAATGTACTTAGTTTGTTTAAACAATACCCAGGGGCAGAGAAGAAGATTTTCAAAGAAATAATTCACCTTCACTACAGGATCTATATAGCCCCGCCCTAGCACCAGAACTCCTGTCCCCGGGGCCATGAATTTCACAATTTTGGAAGAGGCATCCTTGCTTATCAAAACTATGTATTTAATTTGTTTCAATAATACCCAGGAGCAGAGAAGAAGACTTTCAATGAATTAAGGCATTTTCACTATATAATCAATAGAGCCCCTCCCTAACACCAGAACCCCTAACCCTGGGGCCATGAAATTCACAATTTTGGAAGAGGCACTTTTGCTTATCATAACTATGTACTTAGTTACTGTAGTTAATACCCAGGAGCAGAGAATAAGATTTTCAGAGAAGTAATGCATTTTCACTATATAATCAATAGAGCCCCGCCCTAACACCAGAACCCCTGACCCTGGGGCCATGAATTTCACAATTTTGGAAGAGGCACTCTTACTCATCATAACTATATACTTAGTTAGTTTATTTAATACCCAGGAGCAGAGAAGAAGATTTTCAAAGAAATAATGCACTTTCACTATATAATCTATATAACCCCTCCCTAGCACCAGAACCCCTGACCCTGGGGCCATGAATTTCACAATTTTGGTAGAGGGGTCAATGATTATTACAATCATGCCAACAGTTTGACTGCTTGATGTCCAGGAGTAAAGAAGAAGATTTTAAAGATAGCATTAATTTTGGTGGTTTTAGCCCCACCCCTCAGGCCCCAGGGGGGCAGGGATCATGAAATTCACAATTTTTGTTCCGCTTTACCCATAGATGCTATATGCCAAATTTGGTTGAAATTCGTTGAGCGGTTTCAGAGAAGAAGCTAAAAATGTTCAAATGTTAACGCACATCGCACAACGACGGACAAAAACGGATAGCAATAGGTCACCTGAGTGACTCAGGTGACCTAAAAATTGAATATCATTATAAAGATGTTATGTAACATTCCCAAATAATTGTATTGTCATGGCAACCTACCGGATCTCCAAGGTCACCCCTCATCCCCTGAAAACCAGGGTCTCCAGTTCTGCCCTGAAAGCAGAGAAACAGCCTTTAAGGAAAGGTGACAAAAATATACAAAATTTACCCAGATGAGAAGATTGTGACATAAGATCTAATTATAAATTTCTTATTCAGAACTCCATAAATAGTGTAAAATCTTAACTTTCTAGTCTATCAGTTATTGTTTGTTGCCACTCTATTTTAATAAAATCAAAAATAAAACTTTATGCCTTAGTTAATTTGAGGGGTGGATCTTACTGTTTCTCCTGGTAATCCATCATATCCTTGTCTCCCCTTTTCTCCCCGTTTTCCTTTCAAACCATAGGGTCCTGGTGGGCCATCTTTACCTCTCATGCCCTAAAAAAATGTCATAGAAACAAAATATCATATTATCACCATACCTAAGACGAAAAATTATAATCGCCATAAAAATAAGGGCAAATAAAGAGTCAAAATGATCCCCCTCATCATTGCATTCCCTCATTCCTTGATTCCAGGCATCCCAAAAGGCCCTTTATCACCTGGCAAACCTGAAAATCCCTAAAAACAAAAATCCAGGTAAAAGTCAATGAAAGCTACATTATAAATCAAATCTACCTCTATGTTTTTCAGTTACATGTATTTCAAAAAATTGTTATACAGCAAGGGGTCCAGCCTAAATTCCTTTGCAAAGGCGTATTTTTCTTTGCAACCGAAAAAATGGCGGATACGAAGCGGAGAAGAAAACGAGGTCAGTAACTTTCGTGTAATTTTAGGAACTATAATCATTAATTTTGATAAATGGATGTTACGTTTCGGTGCGCCTATCCATCCTTTCCAATGGGAAAACTAAGCTAAAGAGATTTACTTAAAGATGAAAAAATTATTGAAGAAAAACCATAGACATGTCTCTATTGTTTGTCGCATTCATAACCAATCATCGGTTATTTGTAACATACTGCACAGTCCAAAGCTGTAAAAATTACGTATATTTGTAAATTTTCCGGTCAAATATTAGAAAAACACAATTTCCATTCACACAAAGCCAGTTTTAGAAATTTAATCCACAATTTACGACTTTAAGATTAAAATTACTTTGCAAAGTCGATATTAGGACATGTTTACTTTGCAACTCTGTGATTCAGAACATTGGTCGTTATATTGAAAAGGCCTCTTCGCCAAAATTACAGGCAGCAATATAGTGTTTGCAATCAAATTGTATACATACTTTTCACGATGAAAATCCCCTGTCACCCAGCATAATTTAAGTGGTGTGTACACAGTAAATCCTATGATTCTAATTGGGGAGGGTGTATTTTTTGTTAGTTTCTCCCTACCTCTGATACACTTTTTTAATTTTTTTTTCTCTCTAGACTAATCCCTTGATACGCTCAAACCCAAGGTTGGTAAATAAGGAAAAAAAATCTGGACAAGGGCATATGCAAGTTCCAAAGAGTATTTAGACTGTTTGCGATCGGATGGATTATGGTCGACGGATCTAAAATTCTATCATCGTTGAAAGTGGGGATATTGGAAAGGGAACTGTATAGGGTGTAGAAAATCAACTATATTTCTTGTACTGTAAGTCATGAATTACTGAAATTCAATTTTTATAATAATTATTTATTTTTACGATGAAAATTGTCATATAGTGATATACATTGTAAGATGATGACAATTTTATAACTGCCATTCTCTTTCATCATCTTAAAGTATTCGTACACAAGTATTAAAAAAAGTATCAAATGTTTCTTGTCGATATATACTGTGAACCCGAATAAAGGTTTTGACAGTTGAATCTGTACAATTTGCATACATGTATTTGAATATGGACATTTGTTTTAAAAATAAAATCATTTAAATTTGTCATACGTTCGTAATATAAAATGGGTCTTAGACACGTCATTTATACTTATATACATATTAGGTAACTAGAATGAACTTAGTATTTTAGCATAGGATTTGTTCGGCGAAATTTAAACATGTATCATGTATATCAAGACAGAATTTAAACATTTGGTGACTGAAAAAAAGATCACTCTGTATTAACTTTCTGGAAATGGTTTTTTAAATTTTCTTTTTTAATTTTTGGTAGAATTCTTTTGGACCCCCCCCCCCCCCCCCCAACGAACAGATAGGCTTTGCATCAAATATTATTTACTCATGGTAAAAAACAACAAAATTAAATTTCTCCAATTTTTATTTCGTAAATAAAGACAATGCTTTCTAAAAAATAACAATGATATTCAAAAGTCAATCCCATAGCAATGTTTTCAAAAAAAGGGGGGATTCCAAATGGAAATTTACCTTGTTAAACTACATCAAAAAATATCCTTAGACCCCCCCCCCCATCCCCCCAACGCAGTACGGACCCGAAAGCATAATTATGTTCCCCAAACGAAGTTTGGGAACATATTGTTTTTACTCTGTTTCTTATTAAGGTCTTCCGTTTCAGACGGAAGACCTTATAGTGATTCTACTGTTTATTATTAAGGTCTTCCGTTTCAGACGGAAGACCTTATAGTGATTCTACTGTTTATTATTATTATTATTTTTTTCCCGTTTTTTGTCCAAGCGATTTCTCAGAGATGGCTTGATGGATTTTCTTGAAACTTTCAGGAGTTATGATAAATAAAATAAACTAAAAACATTTTTAAGGATTTTGCAAAATTCACTTCCGGTCGTCAGATATGTCCAATTTTCGTTTTTTCAAAAGAGATCATGTCCGGACGATATCTCAGAAACGGTAAAAGATTAAGACCTCAAACTTTCAGGGATTATAGATCATAACAAGTATGTTTGCAGAATATGTTTAAATTTGTCAGCCGTCACTTCTGGTCGTCACAGGAAGTGATCAAAGAAATCAAAAATTTCAACTTTTCTTTTTTGGATTTAATCTTGCATGGCATTATTGTATCTGTTTCGCAGTTTTGAAATATGTTGGTCCCACCGGAAACAAAAACGTCAACTTCCGGTTATAAGCGAAAAAGTACATAATTTGAGCATTTTACTTTCCCATAAATATCTCTTATAGATTAAGTGTTTGAAATGGTTTTTTAATATATTATTTAGACTGCAAATGTCTAGAGTAACGTCAAATATCTTGGTAAAATTCACTTCCGGTCGCGTGTTTTACTGTCCGCAAAATAAGAATTTGTGCAAGTGAGATCTCAAAAACAGGAAGAGATTAAGACACCAAACTTATAGGAGTAATAGAACTTAAGGAGTAGGCAAAACCATTTGGGTTAATAGCGTCAGCCGTCACTTCCGGTCGTCACAGGAAGTGATCAAAGAAATAAAAAATTTCAACTTTTCTCTTTTGAAATAAAACTTGCATCATATAATTGAATCTCTTTCACAGTTTCTATATGTGTTGGTCTCATTGGAAACAAAAAACGACAACTTCCGGTTATAAGAGAAAACTATGTAATTGGGATTTTTATCTTTCCCAAAAATATCGCTTATAGATAAAGTTTTTTGAAAAGATTTTTATATATGTTATTGAGATTGCAATTGTCTAGTGTGACGTTAACCATCTTAGGAAAATGCACTTCCGGTCGCGTGTTTTTCCGTCCTCAAATTGAGATTTTGTTTACCAAATTGCTCAGAAACAGTACATTGCTGAAGTCTAAAAATTTCAGAACTGATAGTCAGTCCTCAGTTTATCTACATCATGTAAAAATCGTACGTTGCCGTCACTTCCGGTCGTGACAGGAAGCTATGCAGAAAAGTGAATTGTTACAGTTTTTTTCTTTTTACAGAAATGTTTGGCTTATGCACATGTTAGATAAACCATAACCATGCAATTTATTATCACCGGAAGTGCAAACCGAAAAACCGGAAGTTGTCTCAAACATGAGTAGTTTTTCATGGAAACTTTTAGGGAGGATCAGTTGTGAATAATTAAGGTGTAGAATGAACATTTTATTCGTTTGGAGCACTTTCTTACATGACGAAGTACATAAAGAAAACAGGAAAGTAATTCCGTTTGTTTTTATTTGTATTTATATATCTTTGGAAGCCTTGAGATGACTTTTGTTAATTATTTAGAGTAATCTTATTGGCAAGATTGTTTTTTTTTTGTTTGTTTGTTTTTTTTTTTTTTTTTTTGAAGAAGTCAAGAAAACGGAAGACCTGTTATTGCCTAGGCAATAAGTATCTAGTTATTATTATTTTTTTCCCGTTTTTTGTCCAAGCAATTTCTCAGAGATGGCTTGATGGATTTTCTTGAAACTTTCAGAGTTTATGACAAATAGAATAAACTTAAAACATTTTGAAGGATTTTGCAAAATTCAGTTCCGGTCATCAGATATGTCCGATTTCCGTTTTTCAAAAGAGATCATGTCCGGACGAGATCTCAGAAACGGTAAAAGCTTAAAATACCAAACTTTCACGAGTGATAGATCATGACAAGTAGGTTTGCAGAATTGGTTTAGATCTGTCAGTTGTTACTTCCGGTCGTCACAGGAAGTGATCAAAGAAATCGAAAATTTCAACTTTTCTTATTTTAATTAAATCTTGCATCACATTATTGTATCTGTTTTGCAGTTTCGAAATATGTTGGTCCCACTGGAAACAAAAACGTCAACTTCCGGTTATAAGCGAAAAAGTACATAATTTTAGTATTTTACTTTCCCATAAATATCGCTTATGGTTGAAGTATTTGAAATGGTTTTTAGATATGTTATTTAGACTGCAAATGTCTAGAGTAACGTCAAATATCTTGGTAAAATTCACTTCCGGTCGCGTGCTTTACTGTCCGCAAAATAAGAACATGTCAAAGTGAGATCTCAGAAACAGGAAGAGATTAAGACACCAAACTTATAGGAGTAATAGAACTTAAGGAGTAAGCTTAACCCTTTGGGTTAATAGCGTCAGCCGTCACTTCCGGTCGTTACAGGAAGTGATCAAAGAAATTAAAAATTTCAACTTTTCTCTTTTGAAATAAAATTTGCATCATTTAATTGAATCTCTGTCACCGTTTCTCTATGTGTTGGTCTCACTGGAAACAAAAGACGATAACTTCCGGTTATAAGAGAGAAACTTTGTAATCGGGATTTTTAACTTTCTCAAAAATGTCGCTTATTGATAAAGTTTTTGCAATGATTTTTACATATGTTATTGAGACTGCAATTGTCTAGTGTGACGTCAACCATCTTAGGAAAATGCACTTCCGGTCGCGTGTTTTTCTGTCCTCAAATTGAAACTTTGTTCACCTGATTGCTCAAAAACAGTATAAAACTGAAGTCTAAAACTTTCAGAACTGATAGTCAGTCACCAGTTTATCTACATCATGTAAAAATCGTACGTTGCCGTCACTTCCGGTCGTGACAGGAAGCGATGCAAAAAAGTGAATTTTTAAAGTTTTTTACTTTTTACAGAAAT